TCCCCAAGACACCAGACCTCTTTGGGCTCTGACTGATGTCACACAACACGGCAACACATTCTGACACAAGGAAGCTGACAGAGACACTCTTCATAAACTGAATGTGAGAGGACAAAAAAAATTTTAAAGGTTTACCTTTCTTTTAAACTTTTTTTTTTCCTTTATTGATTTTAGAGAGAGAGGAAGTAAGAGGGAATTAAATTAGCAACTAAATTCCTGCTAATTTAGGGAGGGAGAGAGAGAGAGAAACACATCGATTGGCCACCTCCTGCATGCCCCCCACTGAGGATCTGGCCCACAACCTGGGCCTGTGCCCTGACTGGGAATCGAACCGGCAACCTCTTGGTGCATGGGTTGACACTCAACCACTGAGCCACACCGGCCGGACTAAACGGTTTACCTTTTATGGAAGATTTTCTATCAATGGACAAAAAACAGTAGTTCTCAACCAGGGGGTGATTTTGTGCCTCCTCCTACCCCCAAGAAATATTTTGCAATTTCTGGAGACATTTTTGGTTGTCACACTCGAAGGGGTGTTAAGAGGTGTTACTACTGGAATCTGGTAGGTAGCCTAGACTAAAGTCAAGATTTAATTAGGAATTTGTGTTAACGAGGAATTCGGTAGTCTGACTGCTGCCAAGTAACTCCTCTTAAACACAACATATATCTCTCCTTGCAACCAGCAGCAGGAGTAAGACAGAGGAGATAACACCATCCTAGCAGGAATAGTGTTGTACAATAGTCACCACAGCTCTTATAAAAGTGTTACCTGATTAAATAAGAGGATGGTTGACTCTCTCCCAAGAGATGCTATGAATTATTTCTTCATTCTCTTAGGAAAACCTGAATCTTACGAACATTCTCACCGTTAGATAGGATATCTGAACTATTGTTTATCTTTTTAAGTACTATGAAGTTAAAAAAAAAAAATGTTGACCTCAATTTTTAATACTCCTGAGGGCCTGACATGAGGATACAGAACAAGATCTCTTGTTCTTCTAAACAGAAGTCGAGCCAATAACACAGGGTATGAGCCAAACACTGCCTGGTGTCCTGGAGCTAAAGAAAATGTTGGCACATCATGCTAAATCACAGCTGTTTCAGTCTCCTTTAGTTCCTGGTCCCACTCTCTGCAGCCCAGTTTGCCTTTTGAAATACAGCACAGCTAGCTATTCTATAGTACGTGATTAAATGACAAGGGAGGTTTTCTTTATATTTTAGCCCTTTGTCTCAGAAGCTTTAGAAATCTTGACGAGTGCTGCTAAGAAATACAGATTCCTTTTTTAGAAAGAAGATGCATAGAAATGTCTTAATGTGCACATAATTGTGCATATTTTTGTCAACAAACTAAATGCAATCATGAGGGGGAAAAGATACCTTTTCAAAATGAAAACAGAAAAAAGAAAGAAGAGCTAATTGAACCGTACCCAGTGCTGTTATAAGAAAGGGTTTCTGTGACTTCATTCACTTACCGCGTGCATTTTTAGGTTGCTAAACAGTGTCTGCCAGCAACCCGTGAGAGGCAGAACTCTCTAACAGCACGGCCCTATCCCAAGGAACTCAAGAGCTTAAAAATTAGGGAAACTGCCATATTTTGACTTAAAACAGCTGTGCCTGAGTGAAAAGAGGGATAAAAGGTGAAATGAGTCTAGTCTAGACACTCCGAAGTCTCTGACTGGCCAAAGGAAGAGTAAGAAAGGGTTACAGTTCTTCCCATAAATGTCAAGGAAATAATTCCACTGGGGAAAGTTTATTCTTTTTTTTTTTTTTTTTTAGGAAATTGTGTTATAAAAAGCAGGAGCATTATGTTGATGCTCAGAAAACCACTAGTGGTAAGTCAAATAACTTCATTTTATTGTATAGATTGACCTAACTTTCCTCATACTCTAAAAGACACTATAAAATAAATGACTATCTGGAATCTTTTTTATATCAGAGCAAAATCAGGTAACTGACAATCTTTAATAAATTAAAAGATGAAATGAAAATAAACTCAAAGAATTTTATTCTGCAATTAATTGAGTGAGTGGTAGTGAACTTGGAACTGATGGCCTGGGCTATAAATATTAAAATTTTGCTAAAGTAAATGGTCCCTCGACTTCTATTGGTATCTCATTAAATACTCTCAATTTCCATTGGTGTTTTATTTAAATAAAATTGAAATGATTTAAAAGTAAGCTTAAATATTTTTTAATTATTTAAACAACTTTTCCAAAACCTAAGTTTTAACATTAGGTGAAGTCTTTCTAAAGTATATAATATTATTTTCCACCGTCTTAAATATACTGTAAATCAAGAGTTCTTAGCCTCAGAGATCACAAACCTGAGAGGAAAGAGGTCCATGAATGGCTGTCCAGGTGTCCAAAAGCCCTTTGAAATTGTTTGCAGAATTATGTAGCTGAGCTGTACTTTTAATCAGCTTCTTGAAGTGATCCAGGGCTTACATAAGCTAGCATATTTTTTATTAATCAGGATATTCATCATGAACATCTACTATTGGACCATCACACTGGAACACAGTAATGTCCTCAGGACATATTAAAATAAATAGGTCTATTTGCCCAGCCACAAAAATGACTTCAAATTGTCATTTTACACAGTAGTAGTCAACAATAAATTAAAATTCACCGTGAATAAAAAATTCTCTAAGTAAGAATTTATTTCTAGACATTCCTCAAAGAATTTATTTCCTCATTTTTTCCCACTAAAGTTATGTTAAAGTCTAACTATAGGTCTCAGTTGATGATTAATACATTAAAAGTTACTTATTAATTTGTATATCCACTTTGCCCAGCATACAGCTTAACACATAGTAGATTCTCAATCAACTGTGCAATGTGATTATCAAACATTTCATAGTATAAGCTTTCTTATTTCTTCCACTCCCTACCAGTTCACAAAAATATGCCATAAAATTATCAATACACATAAATATGCCTTTGTAAGACACTCAGGATTTATTAAACTACTGCTTCTTATTTTATTGTTGTAGATAATGAAATTTCAGAGTAAGTTTTGGTTCTCTAACTTTCTAAATCGGTTCCAAGACTGAAGATTCTAAATCAATAATTTGGGTAAATTCAGGAAAGTAACTTTGCCTCTTTGTGCCTCAGTTTCTTCATACAGAAGATAAGGGTGTTGGACAAGATGCTGATCACATGGTACCATTCAGATCTTAAATTATGTAACTATGTTGTGAAATTTTGTTAAAGCAAAATTTTCAAAATTTAAAATTATAACTCCCAAGAAAATAAAACTACATGTCTCAGCACTCAAAAATGTAGTTAAAAAATATTCAAAAAGTTTAAACTACCCTAAGAAGCCTGAAACAACACTCAGAAAGAATATATGTACCCCCATGATCATAGCAGCACTATTTACAATAGCTAAGACCTGGAAACAGCCCAAATGTCCATCAGTAGACAAATGGATAAAAAAGCAGTGGTATATATACACAATGGAGTACTATGCAGCTGTAAGAAAGAAAGATCTCTTATCCTTTGAGACGACATGGAGGGACCTGAAAGTATCATCCTAAGTGAAACAAGCCAAACAGAGAAAGACAAGTATCATATGATCTCACTTATTTGTGGAATATAATGAACATAACAATCTGAGGAATGGGGTAGTCCCAGAGACGTGGAATTGGGGTACAGACTGACAATCCCCAGGAGAGGGGGTGGTGGGGGAGAGATAAACCACAGAACTTATATGCATGAGTACATGAACAATGGACATGGACAACAAAGCTGGGGACACGGCGGGGATGGAGGGGAAGGGAGGAATCAGTGGGGGGGGGGGAGGAGAAACATCTGTAACAAAAATAAATTCATTAATTAATTAAAAAAAGAAAGTTTAAACTGTGATTCCTAGGCAAATGTAAAATGAAAATATGTCAGAGATTGTATTCAAATAATTAACAAGGGAACCAGTAAAGTGGTCAAATCATTTCAAAGAGTATTTCAAAAGCTAATATTCATAGTCAATGTTAAGATAACACTGCTTAACTAGATATAAAATTGGTTAATGTCCAACAAGGTAATAAACTGTAAAACCATTAGAATTATCTTTTTCGCCAGACAGAAATTATCTTCATCTCTGTGGTATAAAAATCCACAAGTTAACCTCTGCCCTACAACATCATTAAACAGCCCACTCAATGCAAAATCAAACCCAGCACTGCACCGAAAAGACACAGGAATCTCCTCTGGCTACTGCCATGTGTCAGGTAGCTTTTCTGAAAAGCTGAATTATCTTTCACGAATAAAAGTTCTTAACTCTAGATGATACCATTTAGTGTTTAGAGAAAGGTCTTGATCATCTTTATTTGACCCCTGTATAATTTCCAAAACATATTTTCAGTCTAGTGCCCTAAATGTGCCTTACTTTTTTTCTGTGCTGAGATAAGCATTAGAATTTCATAAGACAGTGTCTAGATGACTCTACATCTAAGATATTTTATTTATTAGATATAATGTAATGCATATTTAAAGGTACAATGGAAACAAACAAGCTATCATACAAGTTCAAAGATTATAAATATTTTGAGCATAAATCAAAGACATTTTATATTTTGAGAAGTTCCACAGGTGCCTTATAAGCATAAAAATACATATGCTATAAAAAAACTGTAAACATAATTGTAAAACTCACCCAAAGCAAAAAAAAACAAAAATTATTCTCTTATAGTTTATGACATATTAACTAATTTGCATACTACCTAAAACAATGTTTTATGCACATCTAGAGAAACTATATCACTAATAATAATAATATCAAATATATGTCTGCACAAGCACAATCCAATAAAATTCTTGACTATTCAATTGTTTCTTTTATCATGAATAAAGATAGCAAACATTCCTCCATATTTAAGTTCTGAATAAATAACCCATCTACAAAGGAAAATGAAGCCATCTACAAAAGAAAAAGCAGGCATTTTTAATTTCCAATATTTTATTACAGATTTTTATGACAACATTTATTTTCATATCAGCTTAAAGAAAATAAATCACTCAAGAATAGCTTTTGTATGCCTGCCAAGGTAAATTGTTCTATTTTGAATTTATCAAGTTATAAATAAACCACATAATGTGCTTATGTGAACCAAACCAAAGCATAATTGGCATATATTTGAAAGGCACAAAGTATTTTCATTGTTTTAATAAGAGGAATGAAGAGCATTACTTATAAGAATGAAAAGCCTAGCCTGCAGCCATCCATTATTCAAAAATAATACAGCATGAATTATTCACTGATTATAAAACAAAACACATTGTTAAAAAAGCAAAAGTGACTAAAACTAACATGTGTCCCTGGACCTTTCCTTAAATGTTAAGCATTTCGGAATAACTGAAGGCAAATAAACAAAGCCCGACCCATACATGGGAGGACCAAGCTGACCAGAAGCCGGTAGCTTGTGACACAAAATTAAAGTTCACTTCTAAGAAGCTGGAATTCCTACCACCAAAATCACAATGTTGATGAAGTTGGTATATTTCATAAAAAGCACATTAAAATGCAAATATGCCACCTTGATAAGACAAGGTGTAAGGCAACTTGACAAAGTTATTTCAAGTCAGTGGCTCAAAGTAGAACCTGGATTCCCAAACTTTTGTTAGGCCAATTTTTTCATTAATATAATGATTAATCAGAAAAGAAAAAAAATGCAATCTTAAAGAGCCCAAATACAACAGGTAAAAGTGAAGACTCAGGGCTATCAAGGGGAATCGCACAGGAGAATTGTCTGAAGGCCAACTCTCCAAATGTTAGCCCAGCAAATAAGGGTGCTAAATAGTAGCACAGTATTTTTAAACTTCAAAGAAAAGGAAAAGTCAGTATATCAGCTTTTAAATAAGAGGTGGAGCGTATTTGAAACCCCTATATGAACATCTGTCATACATGATGACGTGGGTATCTTCCAAGATATAAAGACCCAACACATGAATACTGTATGTCCACATCCTTCCACCTAATTAGAAAGTCGGTAGAGGGAGTTTGGGGAAAATTATTTAAGGCTTAATAATATCAAAATATGCTGTTTTAGTTCTAGTCATGTGCTTTCCGTGAGGAGGAATGATCAGAATCAAGTTTTAATTTATTTGGTTCATATTTCTCATATTGGAATAAGCCAAACAATATATTTAAACACAGTCTGATCCTATTGTCAATATCTGGGCAATATCCATCCAATTAGTTTAAGTACAAATACAATTACACAGAACAAATGTGAAGAAATTCACTGTTATTCATGAAATACACAGAAATTACAGTACAACCCTTGTAAAAATGACAAAATTTTAAAAAAAGAAAAAAAATTTAAAGGGTACTCTATAAGTACAGTTTCAAAGAGGTAACTTCAAACCTTAAAATGTTGAATTTCTAAGCCACTAGACATAAATTGAAAGAAAGCTGAGACAGTAAAACTACCAAATGTATCAAGTAACAGTTTCGGATAGTTTCTACCCTGAAAACAAAACAAGCCTCTAAAAAGGAATGAAAAATGTGATTCTTGCTGCTCAGAATCACAGAAGTGGCTAATTATTTATGGATACAATAGACTATACACTGGTAGTTTTACAAATAACTCACCATTTCTATTGAGAATTATTGTAGGCACTGATGTATTTGCAGATCATGTGCTCAGTTTTCCAGTTTAGAAGTGTCTCTGGGTAAGTGCTGGGACTGCTCTGTTTTAACAATCAGCAACAACAAAAATTCAGGATTCATTCCCATTAGTATTTGGTCAGACCAGAAAATGGCATGAAATATAATTTCTTAAAGGAGTCAGTTTATACTGTTCTTTTCAGCAACATGACACATGTTTTAACAAAGCTTGCCGGAATCATACTCCAAGGATTCTGTAATCAGATGTTGAGACTCACATGACAATGGTCGTGAGAAATATAAGCAAATATTTTTTAAGAAGTATCTTTTTAAGAAGTAAAGCTTTATAAGTCTGCTTAGAGTGCTCAGGCCCATCATATTACTTGGTTAAATTCTTTTATTTTACATATTCATTTACACTGTCTCATTCCTAAAAGGAATTGAGATTTGTATAGTTGATTTAGAAACAAAAACGCATGCATATATCTAGTAGTCCAGCCAGAAGATCCGTTTGTTATTCATTCATAGGTAATACTTTGGCCCCGTGTGCATTGATGTAGGTGAGAAGGATTTTTGCTCTTTGTTCTACTACATCAATAAGCTTTTCAATTCCTTGTCTGCCTCCTTGACTCTCCCAATAAACTTTATCAAGAAACAGAGATTGGAGGAGTTTCTGCCGTAAGTGCTGGCTCTTCAAAACAGAAACTGCAGATTCGGGAAACCTGAAAAGATAAATGGTATTTCATTCTTAGTAATTGTTTGGAAATATCATGCCTTAGCCAACTGCTCTGCCTTTCATTCATCAGGCTTAAATCACATTTGCAAACATTACCTTGAGAATCAAAACTTTTGTCACTGTCAAGCATATACTTCTCTTAATAGTAATAGAGTAGAGCAGTTTGTTTCAAAAGCACTGAATTTTCTATTCCATTGAGAACTTGACCTACTAACATTTGACTTAGGGTCATCATATGTAGGCAAAGAGAGGCACAGAATTAGAAAGGTCTCTGTTAGCCTGGAAAAAAAATACTTCCTTCAATCTTAAACTCCAATTCACCCATGGAAACCTCTTGAATCTGTCAAGTAGAATAGTCTTCTCATAAGTGTCAATGTGGGGTTTTACGCAAGAAAATATGAGAAGCGAAATGTTGACTATTTCAATAAAGTTCTCTTTCTGAGTAGGCGTATAACTGAATTTCATGTAAAACAATGCAAAATATATGTAGTAAGAAGAGAAAGGAATCATTCCAAAATGCCCAATTAAATAAAGAAGTGCCCTTGATTCAGATTATACTTCAGGAATTCTGAGCATTTTATGAAACTGGAATATTAAATTGTTTTCAAATAACTGTAGTGATCCTCAAGTTTTAGAGTTGGGGCATTCCACAATGAACTCTCTGGAAAACTGGAGGCCATTTCAGAAGTGTCCTTCCTGAATTTCCTTAAGAGAGTGCCTTTCGCTTTCTGTTCTTCATTCAGAAAGTAGAAAGCCAGTGGTCTAACATACATTATCTGAAGGACTTCGTAAAAATTCTGGTTCAAAAATCTTAAGTAATGTTTTGCTGAATCACCAATTTGGCCTCTCCTGCTTTTATTAAAATGCTGATGAAAGCACAGTAAAAATGTTGGAGTTGAATAGTAATTTTCAAATGAACTTAGTTGTTCCTTAAAAACTAAAGCAAGAACGTAAACTTGTTGGAAGAGTACAGTTTGCCAGAAATTTCAGGATTTCTAAGCACCTTTTCCAAGTGTCAATGGAGCAAGTTGAAGATGACACCCAGGGGATATGATCCAAGGGATTTGGGTGCCCCTGACATTCAGATGCTGCAGAAAGACCAAAGGTCACAGAGGTGGATGTGCTTAAGGAGTCTGAGTAAGTGTGGAATTAAATAATGCTGATAAGTTCTGAGCTCCCTGAAGACATGCACTATGTAATTTAGTGGCTATAGTATTAATTAAGCATTTTTGCTCTATGAAGTATTAACAAGACATGATTTAAAAAAACAAAAAAACCTCTTTATTGATTTCTAGGGAGAGAGGAAGGGAGAGGGAGAGAGAGATAGAAACATTGATGATCGAGAACATTGATTGGCCGCCTCCTGCATGCCCTCCACTGGGAATCAGGCCCACAACCTGGGCATGTGCCCTGACTGGGAATTGAACCAGCGACTTCTTGGTGCATTGGTCAACGCTCAACCACTGAGCCACACCAGCCGGGCAACAATTCATGATTTAGAAATTCTACAGCTCTTCAACTAATTTAGCTGTGGCAGAGTGTATAAGATAAAATTGTTAAAATTCATGGTTCTTTTCAGTGACAAATCCTTTTTTGTAAATGAAAAATCAAAAAAATTACCTGTATTGCCCTGGCCAGTTTGGTTCAGCGGTTAGAGCATCGGCCTGTAGTCCAAAGAGACCCGGTTCAGTTCTCAATAAGGGCATGTGCCTCGGTTGCAGATTGTCCCCAGCCCTGGTTGGGTCATGCAGGAGGCAGCCACTCGATGTGTCCCTTTCACGTAGATGTTTCTCTGTCTCTCTCTCTTCCTCTCTCTCCCTTCCCTCTATCTGAACAAAAGTGGAAAAATGTCCTCAAGTGAGGATAAAAAAGAAAAATCACCTGTCTTTGCATTACATTAATTAATAGAAATATTCTGTGCATAAATCTGGGTTAGCAAAGTCTTCACTTTTGTTTTTCAATGTGTGAGTTACATATACAAAAAAGATTTAACTTTAAGCTCATTGTTCTTCATAGTGCATTTAAAGTTCAATCTTCTTTGTTTTTGTTTCTGTTGTGTGTTTTTTTGGTACACACCCCTAGCAGGAACCGAACCCAGGACTCTCTGGTCCACAGGCCAACGCTCCAACCACTGAGCCAAACCGGCCAGGGCTCAATCTTCTTTGAAAGCATAAATAAAACAGTATCCAAACATATATGCATGGATGGACTCTATTCTCCATGCACTCTTAATTCTAAGAGAAAATTTAGCACTAGGAATTTAAGAAAACCCATAATATCAACTCATTAAGTGATGCCTTAGGTTTGTAAATTTTCTACACATCAAGTTACTTTAGTTTAGACACTTAAAAGAGAGATATGCCATATATTTAACCTTTAATCCACAAAAAGATGTGCAGAACAGGTATAAACAGGGCAAGACATGGCAAAAACTTATGTAATTCTCACAGGAAAAGTACTATCTCTAGTGTTGAAAGTACCTAAAATGCATATTATCTAATTGTCAGTGCTTCACACCGCTTTTAACTATTTTACTAATGCACCTCTTTATTTTCAAGTCTCAAACATACCCCAAGTCTTTAGTTACTCTAATTTCTGACTAAGGTGGGAAGACAATGAAGAGTGGCTACAGGTGGAGCCTGAAATCTAGCCTTAACCTCCATAGTGGGTTGAGTAGCTCAGTCTCTACTACAGAGTTTCTGCCACTATCAGGTGTCTTAGTTTTATTTCCAATTAGAGGTAGGTTCAAGGTACTTTTTTTTGTAATCTATGTCTACTACCTCATTCAATAGCTGCTGTCCTTTGATATTGTGTTCTACTAAGCAGATTGGCTCCAATTTTTCACCGCATTCATAAAAGTCACGAGTTTGACATGAAGCCTTTGGACATCCTGCCATATCAATATCTGCATGTCTGTCAGCTCCCCTGCTCCAGGCCCTAAACACGGAGCCTCTGCCACCTGCTTATCCCTGTTCTGCCAGTTGCTATTCTAGAGATTCCTGCCTGTTTCCAACCTAATCTACGTGGATTTTCACAGTGAGGGCCAAGCAACATGATGGATGTGAAGCGTAGCAGAAGCTTTGTAGATTGCATTGGTTGGTAATCATGACACCCTAGCTGCAGTCTTGCTCTGTTCCACTTGGGTTTATTTCCTTTTCCTGGGCCTCTAATCCCAGATTCTACAACCACAACTCCTTTCAAGGGTTACAATCAATCAGACACAGGATGTAAGTTTTCTCCAAACCTTACTACTTATTTAATATAAATCTGATGTTGCCCGTCCTGTGTGGCTCAGTGGCTGAGCATCGATCCATGCACCAAGAGGTCGCTGGTCCCATTCCCAGTCAGGGTGCATGTCTAGATTGTGGGTCTGATCCCCAGTGGGAGGCATGCAGGAGGCGCCAATTGATGTTCTATCTCACTGATATTTCTCTCTCTCTCCCTCTCCCTTCTTCTCTCTCTAAAAAAATCAATAAAGAAAAAAAATAATAATATAAATCTGATGATACTACAGTATATAACTTACTCTTTAATGCCTTGTAACAATTTGAAGTTTAAGTTATCTTCACTTCTGTCAAAGAAACCCTTGTTGTCTATAAAGACCAGATGCCTTGGGTCATGCTTTCGCTGGAGAATGTGTGCGAGAGCCACGGAATCTTGGTTGTCACAGTTTGGCCTCAGCCCATTCCGTGCACAGGTATCTTCCTTCCGAGGTCTGAATCCACAGCAATTTGTATCTAAGCGATTGTAAATCTGGAAATGGAAAACAAAAACAAAATCTAAGATGCTGAGTAAAAACAAAACTAGGGGAAGTTAGAAGATTTCCAAAGAACTGGTGCTTTCTAAATAGCTGACTTGCCAGAATCTAATAGGACCAGGCTCATTTAATTAAAGGCAACTGTCAGAATATGTCCAAGGTTCATATCCTTCTGACTCAGTCATGGTTATAAGCATTTCCAGCTCCTGCTAACAGCTCCATAGGCAGATAGATCATCCAAGTTAGGCGTCTCCACCCTTAATATTCAAAGTTCCCACTGACATCACATGTCGATGCACGGCCAGAAGACTTTCTGACTCTCTTCATGACAAAACACAGAAACGGCTGTACTTTCACATATCCAGAAGACTGTATCTTGCTTTCTCCCTTGAGTTGGGTTATAAAAAATCTGAATTACCTCTATGGCTCTAAATGTTTACTCTATCCCCTAACCTCTCTGGGCTTCAGTATTACTATAGCTAACCTGAAATAACAGAACAAATCTGTTGAATAGGTGTAACATCCAATAGTGATAACTAAAAACATGACCTATATGGAGCACACAGGTAGATTCTAAGTAAGTGAACAGAATGAACAAAACTATTGGACCTACTGGGGTTTGTTATGGGAAATAGGGCTATTGCCATATAGAAGGGGGTAAACAGAGATATTAATTAGAAAAGGGAGAGTTGCGTAACTGCCATTTCTTTGGAGAAAGGAAGGAAATAATTAATCATGGCAAATTAAAGCCTGGGCTAGGTGTTAGATAAACTTAAAGTCAAATCTCTGCTTTCACACTTGCTAGCTCTGTGGCCTTTATAGATTCCTTACATCACTGCTTCCTAATTTAATGACCTGTATAATGGGAACGATACTATTCACCTTTGCACAGTTAGTGGGAAAGTTAATGGAAATGTTTGTACACCCTCCAGTCCTGATCCAGGCATCTAGAAGACACTCAAACAATAAAAATTGTTATTACTATTGTTGAGATACACACATTCGAAGTGATTTATCTCAAAACAAGGCAAAAGGCTTCCAAGGCTGAAGGTAATTTCTCCATTTTCATGAAGGAAAACTGAGCCTCAGAGATGTTAGATGACCTACTCTGGGTAAAATTAGTTGCAAAGTTGAGATTTAGAAATAGTTGTGTTTGTCTCTAAAATTTCATGATATTTCCCCAGTATGCCACACTGAATAATTTAAGGCTAGTCAAAGATTGTACATAGACACATGATTCAAAAGATGGCTAGACATAGATTGTCACTTTTCATCTTTTGGCACTAAATTTCCATCCTTTCTCTTCCTGTGCTTTTGCATATGCTGTAGGGCTGGCCACTATAGGAGGCCAGTTGCTAAGAAATGAATGCACCAAGAGTAGTACTAAAATTTAGGCCTACTTTCAAATGATCATGAATTCACCCAACAAAAGTTTATTAAAAATCTACCACTGCCCAGCCAGTGTGGCTCACTGGTTGAGTGTCAACCCATGCACCAAGAGGTTGCCAGTTTGATTCCCAGTCAGGGCACATGCCCAGGTTTTAAGGACCAATCCACAGTGGGGGGCATGAAGGAGGTGGCCAATCGATGTTCTTTCTAATCGATGTTTCTATCCCTCTCCCCCTCTCCCTTCTTCTCTCTCTAAAAATCAGTAAAGAAAAAAATATTAAAAAAAAAAAAATCTTCTACCACCCATCATTGGGCTAAGCCCCAAGGCAAATACTGGCCACCGCCAGAACCTCCCACCACATTACTTCCAGAGGAAAATGGTTGTGTAATTCTGCCTCACTACCCTGTGAAATTTAAGAGCTGGGCAAATGGCCTTCCTCTCTGCTTTCTGCATGTAAGCGGATTTTGTACCAAATAGCATACTTTCAGAAGCAGATATAAGAGAAGTTAGCCTAAGAAAATTTTCTATAAAGTTTATGTAAAACTAGTCACATGGGGTAAGGGTGGTCACTGAGCCACAAAGCATTTGGACAGCTCACAGGGCACACTGTTAGTCTAGAGACAGTCAGTCAATAGGGGAGGCCTCTGTCAGGACTGGTTCCAGGAGGCGATTCCACTGGGCCATAGTCTAACCAGTGGTTTATCCAAAAGGTCACAAGGTTAACGTCAGGGAACAGGACGCTTCCACTGGTCAAAGTGTATTTGTTTGACAGGAAGATGGGAATGTTCACCAAAGGTGAGCCAGAGGGCCCCAAGCAAATTACTATAGATTAAAAGGAAAAAGGATACATTAGAAACTATTAGAAAATTTTATTGAGCCCTTTCTACTCCATTGTATTCATTTAATATGGAGTACTATTCATTTAATAGTACCTTGACTGCCTTTGAATATAAGAAAAACCAAATGACATAAAGAGATTGCAAATGCGAATCATTTAACATCAGGGGGTCCGGTCCGGGAGCAATGAAAAATAACTCTCCTAGAAGCTGCTTCTCATCCATTCCCCTTTTGTAAATATACACTAGTTAATAATTCTCAAAGAATTTCTATATCATTTTCATATGTTTATATCCAGTTATAATGACATTACATGTGGGGGGAAAAACTAAATCCTATTTAATTTTGACTACACATCAAAATTATGTTATGTTGGATATACATGCTTAAAACTTAACCCTTAAGGACAAATCTACCAACTACTTTCTAAATACTGCTCTGAACCCTAAACTCTTCCTTCATTGTTGATTTCATAGTAGTGGGTAAAGGACTAGCACACACATAGCTACAGTTCTGCTGTTTCTACAACACAGCCATGTGAGTCATATATATTAATGTTCAATAATAAGCACGTTCGAATTTAGGCCCTAACGTTCAGTACTTCTGTAAAAATTACAGTTTTCTATTTTTAAACAACATAAAAAGCATTAAAAATTAGAGGTGGAAAAGACCGACTTAGGTCATCATTTCATTGCCTTCCCAACATTACATTGTTTCCTACAGAGTATTTTTAAAGTGCTTCATCGGATCTAATTTTGAATCACTTAACAGTCTGTGATGATTTCACCACTTCCCTGACAGACTGCTGTGCCATTTCAGTCTAACAGACCTTACTATTGAAAAAGGATGTGTGTTCAACTCAACTTCTCTTCCAGATAATGTTTACCAATCCTTTAATCAGGTTTATGCATGTACTTGGTGGGTATGTTCACATGTATTGACTGTGTGTGCGTGTGTGTGTGTGCACACCTACAGGTATAGCATTGAATTCAAATCTGAGATTTACTTTGTTTGTGTCATCCTCCAAGTATATTGAATTATGTCTTTGTATTATCGCCCTTGTCTAGCAAGAGTTTAAATAGCTCTTAAATCTTGTTCCCTAGCTCTTCTTAGTATTTTGTTTAGTCTTCCTTTTGAATTCACATTCAATATAGCAACAATAAATGAACCACAAAACCATAATCCACTCCTTAAAATTCAGTGCTATTCTCCTTGGTTTTTAATTTAGTTACATATTGAATATATTTCTGCTTACTTTTAAGAGATCTTACCTATTTTAAAAAGCCTAATAAAGCATACTCTAGATAGCTATGAATCTATAATGTGGTTTTAACACACTTGTTTAGTGAACACATTAAAACAATCACTTCATTTAACTATAGCATGATTAATACTATAGTTCACATCTATGTGCCTAGGTTCTTAGATAAGTATCTGACAAAGAAGATCATTTGAGAGTAAATTTTGTCAGTAAAGTGACTGTGAGTGTTGAGCATCATTATTGCAGTTTGTTCAAATTTACATCTGTTCACTCTTTAAAACAAGGAAAATCTTTTGCAAAATCGATCTCTGCTGAATCTAAAGATTACTGCCAACCATCATTTTCCATAAAATTCCTCTTTGCTCCTTCAGGAAAATATATCTTTTTAACGTTTACCTAACCAAAATTATACTCTCAAAAATCCAGGTGTTCCAGCCAAATTTTTTGTTGGTGGGATATTTTTAAATCTATTGCCTTCTTCTAAAGTTTCTTTTTAAATTCCATTTTCCTTTGGTAGTGTTAGTTTTGCCTGTAGGAGAAGCATCTTATGATGTGACTTATGTTATGCTCAAAGGACCTAAACATGGATTCCTCTGCTGCACTGATTAGCTCTCCAAAGACCCTTAGAAACCTACAGCTATCCAGTGACTTTCCGCCCTTTTTCATACCACCCATTCTAGCCATGTCTTCAAAAAGCAGGTCCATCAAAGGAATTGTGGTAGCTTCTTCATATTTCCTCTTCCTCAAAACAAAGTGATTAACTGATTAACTGTAGGCAATGCCTGAACAAAGGAAATAAAAAGTTCTAAAAGTGCTGCTAATATTAATAATGAAAAACTTAATACTCGTTTATTCAGTGATTAGTCTATGCCAGGAACTGTACATTTAATGCTTTACATGTACTATTTCATTAAGCCCTCATAGAAACCTTAAGGTGCTGCCTTACAGGTACTACCAATGGTCCCATTTGACAAATGAGAAAACTGAGGCACAAAAAGGCTAGTTGACTGACCCCAGGTACCCGAGCTCATACATAACAGAGCTCAGGATTCTAACCCAAATGTGTATGACTTCAGAGTCCATGCTCTTATCCATCCTGATTGTATTCCTTGTGTGGCCTCCAAGGTACTACTGCAAAAAAGCAAGTGCATTTGTACAGAATATTAAAGGATACCATTCAATAAATACTGGTTATAAGGTTTTAGCAGAAATAGAAAGAATTTCACTGTAAGAGAAAAATTCATGAAGGAGAGGATATTACAGTTAGGTTTTAAGAGACAGTCAGTATTAGCTAAAAAAAATAGGCATGCCCGGCCAGTGTGTCTCAGTAGATTGAGTGTTGTCCCATGGACTGAGAGGTCCTGGTTCCACGACCAGTCAGGACACATGCCCAGGTTGTGGGCTTGATCCCTAGTGGGGGGCACGCAGAAGGCAATCTATTGTCGTTTCTCTCTCACATGTACGTTTCTATCCCTCTCTCCCTTCCTCTCTCTCTAAAAAAACCAATA